ACAGCAGCCATAAAATAATTTAAAAGTGAGAATTAATTTACAAAAATGGAGCTTAGTACTCACTAAGTTAATTTGAGTATGCTAAAATTTGAGTATTTAGTATTGTTTGTATCCCTTGTTGGAATGTATATTGAAAGACTAAATTATTAATTTAAGTTATGCTATTTATAAGAAAAAATCAGATCACAGGAAGTTAAAAGTTAGATTTACTAAACTCAGAAGTTTTATTTGTTAATATTAATATTTCCTAATTTTTAATTTTGATTTTTAAGAGAAAAAAGATTTTTAATCATTTTATCTTGTGAACTTTCAACTTTTCTTGCAAATGACAAGAAAGGTTGTCTGCTTTTGCAAAATATGAATGGTGTTTGAGACAATGTCACTGATTGGCTAATCTGGGAATTTGAAGTTTGTATGATCCTATTTTTGCACAGAATTGAGATTTTAGTGATACTATTTAAATCTATTGAATTGTCTTCTACAATTTTTAATGGGGTCTGCATATCCATTAGGATTACATATAATCTTACAACGCAACACTCACCTAAGCTTTCCATTGACTGACTAATGTTGCCCCACACTGCATTTTGATTCTAGATCTTGGTATGTATCAAAACCTAGGCAACAGCTCGCTGCATGCTCACAAGGTAACAAGATGAAAGATTATATCAAAAAATAAGAATATGAACTTTGTTTCCCCTGTTATAGAATACACGTTTCATTCAGGGCTATGTCTGAGTGGGTGGGTAGGTAAGGTGACACTGCACAATTTCTACTATGTGGATTTCATAGATCTGCTCATTCCCTTACCAACTTCATATCCGTCTACACATCCTGACCCATGGCTGGAAATATAAATTGGTGATATTAGAACGACACGAAGGACATGGCTGTTAATGTTTTCACTGTGTAATTAAATTTCATTGTCATTTCTGTAATGATGTTAATTATACACCAGTAGAAGGAGAGTTTTTTTTTTTAAAGCCGTGAGGTAACTTTGCTTTCACAGTTAACAGCACTAAAGCGAATACATCCATTTTCCAAAGAGTTAATTTATTAATAAATTTGGCTACACCCCAATTTTGTTTTTGTTGTCACTTGATCTTCAAAAAAAAAACTCCTCATCCACTCCTTGACTTTCCTGTTTCTCTTTGCTCAAAGTGGCAGCCACTTCAAAAACTAGACTTCAAAAGGAACTACCTGCTGGTTATAAAAGAGAAATACATGAGATGGGAATAAAACCATTCTCCTTTTCTGTGTAGGTGTGCATAGTATCACACATTAAAGAATATTGAAATTAAAATCTGTAGATGATGACAATAAATTAAGATAAAGTCTACTAATGACATTAATTCTATTAACAAACACTTTACATAAACAGAATTTACAATTAAACACCAAACACGTTTTTATAAAAAGTCGGCATAGATTTCTGAATTATCCAAGATAATTTGAAGTATTTTTGATACTGTTAATTGTTGTTGCTCTTTATTGGGATTTAGTGGAAGTTGATTAGAGCAGAGGTTCCCAACCTTTTTTAGCTCATGGCCTACTTTGAACCCCAAATTTTTCTATGGACCATAATATTATTATAGTGTAAAAAATCACTTCCATTTTACATTGAATATATCCAATAATGATATAACTATATCTATCTATTAGACACACACAATTTCACAAGCATCTAAAATATTTTGTATCTCAAATGAAATTAACCATTTATTATTAATATTTATTTTTTTACAATTTTTCCTATCTATGGCACAAAACAAAAAACTTTCACAAGCAAAAAGAAATTAAGACTTAAAGAAAGAATTCTTTAGCTTCAAAATATAAAACCAATTTCAAAATGGGAATAACTATAAGAATGAAAACTGGTTTCAAATGCATTTATTCAATGAGATCCTAAACCAATAGATTCACAAATCAGAGTAGAACAGTTATAGCTGTAACGAGCAAGATTTTCACAAAATTGAAATGGTGCAATTTTCTTTCTACAGTCAGAAAAAATGCTATTTTCAATAGCTGACTAAAGTTAAAAGTTAGATTTACAAAACTCAGAAGTTTTATTGATTAATAAATATATTTCCCAATTTTTAATTTTGATTTTTAGGAGGGAAAAGATTGTTAATCATTTTTCGGCTGTGAGCCTTCAATTTTTCTTGCAAATGACAAAAAAGGTTGTCTGCTTTTGCAAAACTTGAATGGTGTTTCAGACAATGTCACTGATTGGCTAATCTGGGAATTTGAGTTTCGTGTGATGCTATTTTTGCACAAAATTGAGATTTTAGTGATACTGGTGGACTCTCCCATCATATTCAATGTATGAGGGTCATGCAACTCAGTTCCTAGGAACCAACAGCCCAGACACCAGCACATGAGATTTGATTATAGTGGTGAAGGCTTTGTGCAGAACCAACCACACTTTTTGAAGGGCTGAATACAGAGACCTGGTACACTACGTACCACAAGGTCTCCAAATGATCCTTCGCAGGTTTTGAATTCAGAAATTTCCTTCTCCTAGACCAGTTGCCATCCAAGTCTATAGAACCCAGTCTGTCTTGCTATTTACCCATAGTTGGAGGGAGAAGAAGAGGATTAACCTTTCCCAAGGGTATTAGCACGTAGATAAATGTAATGGATTTGAATGGAATTCAAACTCAGCTCTCTAATTCCTCAATCCGAGCTGTTACCTACTGTGCTTCCTCATTAGTGATACTACTTAAATCTATTGCATTGTTTTCTACAATTTTTAATGGGGTCTACATATCCATTAAGATTACTTGTAATCTTACAATGCAACCCTCACCTAAGCTTTCCACTGACTATGGCACAAAACAAAAAACTTTCACAAGCAAAAAGAAATTAAAACTTAAAAAAACAATTCTTTAGCTTCAAAAACCAATTTCAAAATGAGAATAACTAAAAGAATGAAAACTGGTTTCAAATGCATTTATTCAATGAGATCCTAAACTGATAGATTCACAAATCAGAGTAGAACAGTTATAGCTGTAATGAGCAAGATTTTCACAAAATTGAAATGCCGCAATTGTCTTTCTACAGTAAGAAAAAATGCTATTTTCAATGCTTGATTAATTAAAAGTTATTCAAACATTAAGTAATTAGTAAATTTTCATAATCTAAAGATATTAAAATTATTTACATAAATATAATTTCAATAATTTTAAGGATGAGTCAATAAAAAGTATACAGACTATTCAATAAGCTCTGGCCCATATATTTGCCTGGTGGCGCAGTAAAAGTTATAACATTTCTGTGACCCACCTGAAATTTGCCATGGCCCATTTTAGCCATGTGGCCATAGGTTGGGAAATACTGGATTAGTGTAACGCATTAATCTGCTGCAATGAGAATAAGAAAGAAAAAAAAATGAAATTGTGTTTTTGCCATAGCACAAGGATGACCAACAAATTAAGCAGTTTCTTCAAAATTCATGTATATACATGGTGCGATGGGTAAATTGTCGCCATTTTATATTTTTACTTTCGTGCATGCGCGTTGTTCGTTTTTGATTTTGTCGACTGCACAGTATAGTAGGGTCAGTTGGGCACTGTCTGGGAGAAAAGGGCCACCATGACGCAATTCACTCTGCCAGAAATCTGGAAACAGCATGCTGTACTGCTTGGCAATACAAACATTTCAGAGTGTTTGGGCGTCAATCTGAGGACATTACAGAAGATTCGGAAAGAGTTGGATGAGTCTGATGGGGATTATGAAGGTGTTTAGAGTGATCGCTAGTGACGGCAATGCTATGCCTCCATTCATCTTCTCACAGGGTTTCAGACTCAACATGGAGGCCTACATCAAGTACCTTGAGGAGGTAATGCTGCCCTGGGTCAAGAGGATGGCTGTTGGAAGACTATATGTCTGGCAACAAGACTCTGCACTATCCAATAAAGCAGAAAAACCCAGTCATAGGTGTCAGACAATTTCTGCAACCACATCATCCTTTATATCTGGTCACCTAAATCCCCAGACTGCAACCCCCTTGATTATTATGTGTGGAGCACAGTTTAATGAAAGACCGACAAAACTTCTTGTAACACCAAAGATGAACTGAAGGCAAGGATTAGGGCAGCATTCACCAACTTAAACAAGCAGACCATCCAGAAAAATTACAGAAGATTCTGAAGTTTCCTGGAGGCTGTGGTTGAAGCCAATGGTAATTTTAATGTATAAATTTACTTTATAGTATTTCAACATATTTTTGTGTAATTTTAGTAAGTATATCTATTAAAATAAGAAGTCACAATTATTTTTATTTTTGTGTAATTTAGATGACAATTTATTCATCACACCCTATATTTGCTATCAATGATGACAATGACAATCCTATAGTCATGTTATCTTTTTTTCTGATATGACCTCAGATTTGACTTGTTTAATGGGATTTTAACTCCTTATAGGTCATTTAATAATCAGCTTTAATCCATTAGGCCATGTGTCCTTGGGAAAGGTATAAGTCCACCTCTTCTACCTCCAGCTATGGTTTAATTAGTAGGACTTGTATCAGTAAATCATTATCTTCAAAAAGATTCTTGCAATCTAAAAATATTTTCTAGCTTTAAATAACCTGCAAATAGTTGCTAAGCTGTAAAAAAACAAATCAATCAATTGGTTTGCAGGTGGGGTGGCTGTTGTAGCATACCTATGGACTATAAAGGGTATCTCCCCATTCACATAAATACAGTAGTAAATACTGTATGTTGGTCTGCGGTTGGAGATTTGCCTCCAGCTGTGCTGGTCAAACTCTCTAACTCCGAGCAGAGAGGATTCCCAGACAAGGCTGTGTCGATGGGCAGAGTCTTGTCTCAGGAAACAGCTACCCAACCCCAACATGGAAAAGGGAATTTTTGGCCAAGCCTATGAGCTCGGATACCCCACATTAAATTCGTGCCACATCCGACCACGTGAGGCAGTTGGTAGATATCCTGCAGTTGAAGATTCATTGTGGAATTCACTTGACTCACACATCCAAGCTTACAGCGCCTTGCATTCCCAAGTGGTCACCCATTTAAACACTGACCAGTCTCAATGTTGCTTAACTTCAGTGATCATACAGGAACCAGTGTTTCCCCATGATGTAGCCATAAGTCCTTCATTTTTTTAATGCCAGATTTAAGCGATCATAACTTTTTACAGAATTTTGTTGTTTACCATAGGTGAATTGTTTTGTATTCTGAGGAAAGATAGTGGAATAATTCTTCATTACGTTCCCCATGGTTTGAAATTTTGAGTGCTATATTAAGTATTTGGTAGTGAGAACAAGGAATAACAAAGATTAGATTTGAACAATGTTTATTGTTGGCATGTCATACATAGATGTTGAAGGATGGGTGGAATGTCCATTTCAGTGGCTGGTCATCAGGATGGCGGTTGTGTGTAAGTGTAGCACTGAGAGTTGACCTAATTCTTGTGTAGGTTTTGCATGAGGTCACAGGGTATGTTAGTTGATTGAGGTCATGGTGGTAGGCTGTTTTCATTGGTTGGTAGGCCTGTTCTGTGGAACGGGGATGATGTCAGATTGGTATGGTTGGTAGGCCTGTTCTATAGAACGGCCTTGCACTTGTTGGTGGATTAGCATCATGGTGGCAGGTCGAGTGGGACATATGCTTGCAGAGTCAGAGTCACTTCCTTGCGATTTGAAGTTGCTGCTTGCACAGTCGGAGTTGCTTGTTTTGTGGAGTCAGAGTTACTTGTTTTTCAGAGTTGCTGCTTACAGTGATAGCTTGGTTGCGGAGTCAAAGTTGCAGCTCATGGAGTTGGAGTCACTTCTTTGCATAGTCAGAGTCACTTGTTTTGTGGAATTGGAGTCGTTGCATGTGGGGTCAGAGTTGCTTGCTTGTAGAATTGGATTCACCAAGGTGACAGCGTTCGTGATGAGGAAGGCTTGTAGATTGGTGGTGTTGATGTTGAGATGTTATCAAGTCAGTATTTGTTGAGGTGAAAAGGTCAAGATGTTATCAACACAAAGCTGGATAGTCAAGGTGGTTAGTCAAACCTGGAAGAGGTAATGATCATTGAGAAGTGCAGTCATGTTGAGAAGTGGCAGCAGCAGCAGCAGCAGTGGTGCCCTGTGTAACAGCCAGCAGTACGCCCAGCTGCAACTGCTCTGGTTGTTCTCAGAGACCTGCTTTTAAGTGGGTCTGGTAGTCTCCAGGGGCATCTTTTTTTCTAGTGGGAACATTCATTATTGACTGCTATCGGCGATCACTTTGTAGACTGAATGTGATGCATAGAACCTAATGTTCAGAATCCAACTTATGTTATTTTTTTCTCTGCCTTTATGGCATTCACATCTGGCCAGCATCCAGAATGAATCAGAAAGAGATCTAATTGCGACTGAATATAACACTAGCTTACAGTATTTACATTAGTCGGACTATTGTCCTCATCTTTGTCGCCATATTTGTCCCAACGTTTCAGCCATTGTACACTCCGGCCTTCTTCATGTGGTTGGAATTTCAAACTGAACCCTTTATTTCGATCACTGGTAAAAAATGATGCTGAAAACATTAGGTTTATAATACTCAGAAGTTCATACCCAAGGACACATGGCACAATGGATAAAGGCGTTGGTTAGATCCAGTGACAGACCCAAAGAAGGTGAGTTCAATACCTGGTTAAGGCAGTGGAGAACTTTCAGAGGGAAAATTAGCAGGAGATAACTGATAACTGATATCCATCAAACATGGCACGTGGAACTAGAAAAGACTACCCCAGTAATCGAAATAAAGGGTTCAGTTCGAAATTCCAACCACCTGAAGAAAGCCGGAGTGTACAACGGCCGAAACATTGTGACAAATATGGCGACAAAGATGAGGACAATAGTCCGACTAATGTAAATACTGTACATAATACCTCATCTCAGAAATATAGACAGACTCATAACACTAGCTTGTATACCCTGTTATTTAACACATTGTTAGATGTGGGTGAAAGAAAAATGGATTTATGTCTTTCATAAGAGCATTAGCACAAAGAGAAGACAACAGGATTGATGAATCCACTATCTACACCAATAATTGACTTCATTTCTTTAGCTAGCATGCTTGTTACATGGTTAAGTTAAGTCATTATCTCTGTTTGATTTGTTGAAAAGTTATGAATATTGATTCAAAGAATTATTATCAGAATGCTTTTGTTAACCCTAGAACATTAACCATGGGTATATAGTACCCAGCGCAAATTTTCCTATTTTTTTTTCAGTACCTGATTTTCTTACCTAAATAATATTTTTCAGTTCCTATTAATGTTAACTCAAAGTACAAAGTTTGAAGTGCCTGCATGTAAAATATTTCAAATAAAGATTTATATTTAATATTTTTTTGATATTTTCAAAACCGGGTATGATATACCCATGGTTAGTAGTGGTGTAACTTTAATTGATGGTTAGTGTTCTAGGGTTAACATAGTTAATTATAGCTGATCAGACTGCATGAAGAAAAACTCTACAAACATTTTAATTTGCTGTCCGCCTGGCACAAGGTCAATAATAACATTTTTGATAAAAATGACAAAATGACTCCTTTTGTATGTGAGAAAGAAATATTCAGATTTATATACAGAAAATATACAGAAAATTTGGTTGTGCTGAAATAAAATTCAAAGAGAGTATCTTTTGAAAACCTTTTATGTTTTTTCTCTTTTTGTTGTTTGCTGACAGAAAAGTTCACTATCTTTTTATCAAAAGATATCATTCAAAATATTTTTTTGACAGTCACTACTACAGGAACTGTCTTTTAGTTTGAAGTATTTCAGTCAATATAAGTTTGGATATTTTTGATTTGTTTCTTTGTCTTGAAATAAAATAAAAGAGAGAAATAAAATTCAAAGAGAGTATCTTTTGAAAACCTTTTATGTTTTTTCTCTTTTTGTTGTTTGCTGACAGAAAAGTTCACTATCTTTTTATCAAAAGATATCATTCAAAATATTTTTACGACAGTCACTACTACAGGAACTGTCTTTTAGTTTGAAGTATTTCAGTCAATATAAGTTTGGATATTTTTGATTTGTTTCTTTGTCTTGAAATAAAATAAAAAGAGAGAAATAAAATTCAAAGAGAGTATCTTTTGAAAAACCTTTTATGTTTTTTTCTTTTGTTGTTTTTGCTGACAGAAAAGTTCACTATCTTTTTATCAAAAGATATCATTCAAAATATTTTTACGACAGTCACTACTACAGGAACTGTCTTTTAGTTTGAAGTATTTCAGTCAATATAAGTTTGGATATTTTTGATTTGTTTCTTTGTCTTGAAATAAAATAAAAGAGAGAAATAAAATTCAAAGAGAGTATCTTTTGAAAACCTTTTATGTTTTTTCTTTTTTTGTTGTTTGCTGACAGAAAAGTTCACTATCTTTTATCAAAAAGATATCTTTTTATCAAAAGATATATTTTGATTTGTTTTTTCTTTGTCTTGAAATAAAATAAAAGAAAATAAAATTCAAAGAGAGTATCATTTTTTCTCTTTTTTGTTGTTTGCTGAAATTCACTATTTTTACGACAGTCACTACTACAGGAACTGTCTTTTAGTTTGAAGTATTTCAGTCAATATAAGTTTGATATTTTTGATTTGTTTCTTTGTCTTGAAATAAAATAAAAGAGAGAAATAAAATTCAAAGAGAGTATCTTTTGAAAACCTTTTATGTTTTTTCTCTTTTTGTTGTTTGCTGACAGAAAAGTTCACTATCTTTTTATCAAAAGATATCATTCAAAATATTTTTACGACAGTCACTACTACAGGAACTGTCTTTTAGTTTGAAGTATTTCAGTCAATATAAGTTTGGATATTTTTGATTTGTTTCTTTGTCTTGTATATCAGTTTTGAATTGCAAATACTGTTTGTTTACAACAAATCAGTAATTTTGTTTGCAAGGATATTTTCAATAATTGAATGAAGTTGTCTGTCTTTAACTCTGAATGTTCACAGAGAAGAAATAGAATTTAAAATTAATAATTTTAAGAAAGTATAAATTCAACAAATGTTTAGAGTTTGTATGTGAACATACAATAAATTTGTTATTGTAATAGAATATATTTTTCTTTGTGAAACATGTCATCTAATTCTTAGAAAAGGTTGTAATTTGAAATTGAGTGAGTGTGTGAGAAAAAGTTTTTTTTAGCACATTACTTGTCACAGTGGAGTAATGGATAACAGCTCAGATTGAGGAATCAGAGAGCCAAGTTTGAATTGCAGTCAAATCCGTTACATTCCCTTATGTGCTAATACACTTGGGAAAGGTATAAATCCTCTTCTTCTATAGGTAACTATCAGGACAGACTGGGTTCTATTGCCTTTGGATGGCAACTGGTCTACTGCAGAAAAAAATGGCAACCTATTGCAGGAAAAAAAATCTGCCTTGTCAGTCATGTATCAAAAGATACATGATCACCTAAACATGTATCACATATGGGACATCACTGACTTCTCACGTAGCTCTTTACAAGAGTTGATGCAGGTTCTTTTTGTAGTGAGTGTTGAATTTTCTGATTCAGTACTCAAGAAAGGTTTATCTAGCTCCTTAGTATTTGGCTACAATTCTCACGAACAGTTACAGAACTCCTGTTGGAAACTTCTCGTTTCACTTGCGCATGATTTGCATGCTTTAGTTTATAAACCTACTTAGGTCATATGATTGCCCCAAAAATGGCTAGACCCTTGTTGTAGTAAAGAAAAGACTGTCAACTTATAGTAGCAACTGCAATAGATTTCTTCTGTTTCTCGACCGCAACACTTGTAGCCAAATCGCAGTTCAAACGATAGTCCGTCGTAACAGTCCAACAAGCAAAGTAGAAACAACAAAATGGGGGTCACACATCCAACCTTCACTTCTCATGAACAAAAAAGCATGTCCAGCTGTCCAACTCAGAAAATCTTCTGCCTTTATAAGCGAAAAACAACGGCTTTGGTTCATCAAGGGATCTTTCTGATTGGTCACGCCATTCAGGGGAAGGGAGAACATTAGCATAGATTTATAGTCATTGAAGTAGATTTCTGTTAACTACTTTTTGGTAATTTTTCTTTGGCAGATCACACACAGAACACAAACTTTTTTTTTCGGGGCAACTGATTATCTCTTTCACTACAACC